ATTCTTTATATTGCATAATCAATAGGATGGTACGGCACCGGGTCGTACTACTGGGCCAAAGCTATTGTCGAGCAGATTCTGTCCGTAATATACGCCTACATATACACCATAATTATGTATGTAGTGAGCGGTCAGTTACAGGAAAGCCACCGATTCTACAAATATCTATACATCAGTCTAATGGGGTTTATGTGCACTCAAACATTGGGCTCAATAATCGGGATCATCTGTCATCGCAACCACCGACTGGCCCTTTGTATAGCTGTCGGCGCCTATTCAACACTTCATTATTTTAACAATTTTATAGTTCCCACAAAAGATTTGTTTCCAATCTTTCAAACCATAAGTGATTTAATATTTTCCAAATATATGTTTAACGCCAACCTATTAATAATGTATGGCTTCGACCGGTGCACTGATGGCGACCAGTCTTTAACACTACTTCAGTACTCTGTAAAGGGTGACCAACTTTTCTGGGATTACTGTCTATACCTCATGATCTCATATTTGGTGCTCAAGTGCTCAGAATTTGTAATTCTTATGATTAAAGCCAATAAGGTTTCCATTAAGCGATTGTGCGCTAAAAGACGTAAAAATAATCAAGAATTTGAAGTATTTGGTGATTTAGACGCAAATAATGATGATATCAATGTGTTAGACATGGATGATAAGAGCCCAGACATTAAAAAAGAAGTCGCGGAGCCTTTCACTGTAGACTCAAATATAATGATAGTATGGGTGGACATGACGTTTGAGATACGGCCTAAACCTTGCGCCAAAACACGAGTTATTTTGAATAGCATTAGCGGTGCTATAGAGTACGGGTCACTCAATGGACTCATGGGTCCGAGTGGGTCCGGAAAGACATCTCTAATGAGATGTCTGAATGGCAGACAGAGTCGGATGTGGAGCTCCGGTACCCAAGTGTTTGTCAACTCCAGTGAACCCATTGTCTCGTGTTTTGTCACTCAGAATACGTGCGAACATCTGCTCAACGGTCTGACCGCCAAACAGACGCTAATCTATGCCTCGAAACTCAAAAATAGTCGCAATTTCACGAAAAATACTTATCATTCACTCATCAATACTGTCGACGATTTGATGGATGAGCTGATGATCAGACACATTGAGAACACTTCAGTAGAGCTGTGCTCAGGAGGTGAACAGAAACGTCTGGTCATTGCCTCAGAACTGACATCTTATAAGAAACCAAACCTCTTATGCATTGATGAGCCGACCAGTGGCCTGGACTCGGATGCGGCCGAAGTGGTCATCAAATGTCTGAAAGGACTGACCCGTAAGCACAGGATCTCAATCATAGCGTCTATACATCAGCCAAACAACGAGTTATTCCTTATGTTTGACACAATCCATGTGTTGGCGAAGGGAGGGGTCGGCGTGTATTCCGGTGCTCCCTATCGGCTGAGACAACGGCTCACGGATTGCCAACTCGATTGTCAGGATTATGAGGCGCCCATTGAGAAAGTGCTGAAACACTCGGCACAGGGAGTCAGCGATGAATACATGTCGCGAATGCATAGAAAACAACACGAATTGAGAGAAAAGTTGCTCAGAATTTGCGATAAGAATAATGATATGGTTTTGACGGCCAGTCCTCTGCAAATGAAATCCAAAATATTTAATTTCATAGACTTTTGGTACCTATTGTTACGAACGATGCGAATCCAGTATTTGTCGCAATGGAAAGCACTGGTCATCCAGTTTGCTGTCTGCGTATTCATAGCCCTTCCCTTCTCCCGGTCCCTCAACGAGGATATGGTGAACCCGGACTCCTGTATGCCGATCGCCAACATTACGGCAGTGGACACCACGTGTCTCAATGATCCCGAAGAGTTTTTCCTCGGGGAGAGTCTCTTATCGCAAAATGTTAAATACAATCTCGTGTTCATGACTCTCGTCACGTACTTGCAGATCGTGGTCACCCCTCTCACCTTTACTTCAGATGTCAACATATTCATCAATGAACAGAGGAATGGTATGTATGAACAGTCCGTGAAAGACTGCATTAAAGTATTATTTAATTATTTACACCAATAATGCATGTAAATTATATTGAACTTGGTTTTATAGAAAATATTTGTGGATAACAACATGACCTATAGTTTTATCATTTATTTGTATAAATATTTTATATAATTATATTAATTTTAAATTATAATTTAATTGTACGATAGGTTGGTATAGTAGTGGTGCCTACTATTGGGCCAAATCAACGGTAGACATGTTTCCCGTAATACTAACTCTACTGCCGTTCATCGGTATAATGAATAAATATAAGTCGATTACCAAGTTTTTCGCATACCTGGGCTTTCTATCCGTGTCCACACTATGCTCCCAAAATGTGGGCCATATCGCGGGCATAATATTCAGCAATGATAGCAAACAGGCCCTGGTCCTATCATTTGCTATACACTACTCAATGATGATTTTAGGCAATTGTATTATACCTGTGAAGGAGTTTTACAAATCAATTCAATTCATAAGCAATATATCGTATATAAGACACGCTTTTGAATGCATACTAATAGTGATATATGGGTTCGGGAGGTGTCCTGAAGGTAAGGAGTCTTCAGTATTACATCGATTCAATATCACGGATGATGAGCATGTGTTCTGGGTCAATGTTAGAAATTTGTTACTGGTATTCCTATGCCTTAAAATGATTGCATTGTTTTTGTTGATATTTAAGTCTAATTACCGACTCTTTAGACGCGTTTTCCATTCAAGTAATGCTAATCACAATTCTGTTAATAATAATTGCAATCAAAACAAGAATTCAGTGAAATTGTATGAATTTGATAGTAATAGTAGTCATCATGACATTGATATTGATTATAATGAACGCGAAGTGCATAAGATATAATTGTATTTGTATAATTTATATAATTTATTAATAATTTTATAATTTATTAATAATTTTATAATTTATTAATAATTTTATAATTTATTAATAATTTTATAAACAATTTTTGTAAAATTTATACTGTTTGTCGGTAATAACTAAATGTAATGATCTAATAATTAAATAATAATTTAATAATCATATTTAAGGAGTATTTATTGAAAATTAATTATAAATTGTATATAAATTAAATGTCACAATTAATACTTATAATGGAATCACACACTTTTGCAAATGCCAGATTGGTATTGCTAGGTGAATTGGCATCAATAAAAAACATTTTGCCCAAAATTATAAAAATCTGGTTGCTCCTCGCCACCCAAAAACCCGAAAAACTATTTAAATATTAATGAATGTGAATTTTAATCATTATACATTTAAACTGTTTGTCGGTAATAACTAAATGTAATGATCTAATAATTAAATAATAATTTAATAATCATATTTAAGGAGTATTTATTGAAAATTAATTATAAATTGTATATAAATTAAATGTCACAATTAATACTTAGACATGTATTTGTAGTTATTTTTATAAAACTAGTTTATAATTTATAATATTGATATGAGATTTCACCCAGATTAAACAAAACTTAAATATTTTTTGATAATAAAAATCAAGGCTACTAAATTGTCACAAAGTGTAAACTGTCTTAAAAAAAACTTAAAATTCAAAATACTGTATATATTTTTAGTCAAACTTGAAGGTTATGAAAAATGATGTTTTTTAAATTCAATTTAAATCAATTTTCAAATAAATAGTTTAAGATTTATAAAAAATTTATAGAATATTGCATTAATTCTCATAACTGTCTATTTAGTTGTCATATGCATAATGTCCATCTTATATTTGATTTCAAATAATTGTTTTGAATTTTTTAAATTATTTTATTATTACTTTTGTATAATAGTTGGAAATATAATAACAATTTCTCTCATTCTATGCATAACTTATCAAATAATTCAATGTTTATGGAAAGCTGTTATAAATTGGAAATGTGGGAAAATTACATCAAATGGAAAGGCTGTTCTAATAACAGGTATATTTAATTTTAATTTTATAATTTTAAAACTTTGTCACAAAAGGATGTGACACTGGGTTTGGACATATGCTGGCGTTGA